AAGGAAAGGGAAGGGAAAGAAAGGAAAGGGAAGAAGGAAAGAAAGATCAGGGAAACTACATCTGAAAGTCAGTCATTCATTCCACTAGTGTGCATTTCTTTTTTCCTTTTTGCTAGCCTGAACCCAGTGTAGAGCAATCCACTGTATATCATGTTATTGTTCATAGGTGGACAGTGCATAGTTAGGAGCAAAATATTTCTTTAAAATTCTTTTTTAAAGATGCAAAATTCTTTTGATTATTTAATGATTCTCTAGTTACAGAAATATCTCCTATGGGCTTGTTATTTATGTCTGTTCATCCTGAAGTTAATTCCATTATAGCCTTATAAATGAGTAAGCTCAAATATTTACTTGTATGTTACAGTTTTGTTTTTTTTTTTTTAAGATTTCATTTATTTGACAGAGAGAGACACAGCGAGAGAGGGAACACAAGCAGGGGGAGTGGGAGAGGGAGAAGCAGGCTTCCCGCGGAGCAGGGAGCCCGATGCAGGGCTCCATCCCAGGACCCTGGGATCATGACCTGAGCCGAAGGCAGATGCTTAACAACTGAGCCACCCAGGTGCCCCTATGTTACAGTTTTTTTTAAAACTGACCTACTTTTAAATATGAAATAGTTTAAGGAGATTGGCATTATTCTCTATATTACTGTGGATAAATTATTTACTCAAACCGGATGAACTAGCAATGACTATTTCTAAGACTGGTGTTTGGAAAAATTTCATGAGCAGCTTTCTGACAGATTTAATATTGTGATACAAGGTTTAGTGTGTTTCTTTAAAAAATTTATCCTATAATGAATTACCTGTTAATATGCAAAAAAAACTAGCACTAACTATAAAACAAACCACAGGTTTCCCCAGCGGTTGTAAATAAGTTGGCATTTAATATTTTATGCTAGTTTTTCCACCTGCAAAGTAGGGGTTATATTTACCATTTAATATGGTTGAAATGAAGGTATGACAATGCTTGTGTTCTCTCTCAACGAGAAGTTACGATATCATTGCGGTCAGAGCCATTGTTCATGATGTGGGGCTGTGTGCTCTGCTCACCTCAATGTGGAATCATTGACTGTTTCACTGTTCGTATTATTTTCTTAAGTATTTATTGTCCTTCCTACCATCATAGCCTTGGGCATATAGCCTGTGCCCTGCAGGAGCTCATGGTTAGCATTTGTGGGGTTGGGGGATAAAGAGATGGTCACTGTAATAGGCGAGGGTGTTATTATAGAAGCATCTTGGAGAGCCATCTAGTTCTGAAGGGTGTGTGAGGGGAGGGCAGGAGGTTGGGGAGTCTTTCCATGCGAGCACTGAGAGATGACCTTGGGAGTGGGAGGGACAATTCTGGGACAGGACGCCAAGTCTGTGAAAGAACAGAGCTTATTCAGAGAAGGCAAGGAAGTCAGTGTAACAGATCAGGGCAAGGGAGGAGGAAGGGCATGGGGTCCAGAGTTGAATAATGCAAATAACCATTCCTTGGTTTAGATGGCACCTTCTCAAATCAGAACCCATTTCTATCATTTCTATACTGAGTGGCGTTTTATCATTCTTACCACCATTTGTACATTTCCACTCCTTTTTTTTTTTTTTTTTCTCCCCAAAGTTCCATTAGCTCACTGGATCTGGCCTTGTATGTCCAGAATGAAGCACATTAAGGAGATTTATAGGCAGTTAATTGGCTGTCTCTTTCTCACTTACCCTTTTATGTTTAAATGTACATTTTGTTGTTTCTAAATGTTACATTATTGTAAAGTACAGCATTCACAAAAGATAATTTAGGAGGTTTTTTTGGTAAATTACCTGTAAGATGAAAAGATAAATTCCCAAACTTAAGGAAAAGCAGTTAATTTCCTGAGGCTTATATTCAGGAAATCTTACTAAGAGCAATTAACATAGGTTTAAAAAAAGTAGTTGAAGTCATTATTTATTCTTTTACATTGTTGTTTACAATTTGTGCAATATTTAAATTGATATGCCCTCAAAATGCCCCCAAATGATTTGTGCCTATATAATTACATTTCATATTTTATTGTTGTCGGTTTTGTAATACATATTTATACATTTAAGCTTCCTTGAAAATTCTAAGCTTTTAGTATTTTTATGGATACTCAATAAATAGTAGCTGTTTTGATGATGATGAAAAAGCATGAAGAGAAGGGCAGATTCAAATGAAGTACGATTTTGATTTGTGAAGTTTAGGCAGGTGTTAAAGGTTGTTGATAATTGTTGAGTCGGTGACTTCATGGTGAAAGAGAAATGTTAGTCTTTTAAGGTTGCATTTGCTGTTGGTAAATGGTAACATTGCCCTGGCTTGCATTTTCCCTCCTGGGGCATGACAAAATGCTATTTCTTGTATATCCTTCAAGAAATATTCCTTTATAAACATGCATTTAGAGAAGATGTGTGTCCATTTGTTTCTCTACAGGTGGGATATGACATGCAGCTTGTTTTCCCCCCTTTGAACAATGAACTAAATAGTTACTATAGTAATTATAATAATATTATAAATATAATAATAACAATAGTTAGCATTGTGCCAGGCACTATGCCATAAACATATGCCATGCATTATTCTTTTTATGTTCACCAGCCACTGACAGAGAAAGAAGCTGAGGAACAGAGAGGGTAAGAAACATGCCCAAGGTCACACAGCTAGTGGGCCTGGGCTTCAAACGCAGGGGCCTGACTGCAGAGCCTGGATGTTCAGTCACTGTCTTCCTCATGAGCATTGTGAGGGTGATCTGTGTCAGCTCAGAAAGCCTTGCTTGCTCTCTTTGATGTTCAGGCCTTCCACATTTCCATCAGGTCTGTTGCGTCTGTGCTCTGCTCTGTGCCCTGGGGGTCTCCAGCTGCCAGTCTCTGCGTCTCTCTGCGGGTGCTCTCAGAGCCCCATTCGCCCGCTTGGCAGCAGGCACTCTGCACCCACCACCGTGGTCCTCCAGCGAGAAGCTGAACACTGCAGCTCCCTCGCTCTTGGATGGGATCACACTGAGGTTGTGTATTCTACCCTGATTCCCCGAGTGCCTGATCTGGGGTGTATTCCAGTGACCCACCGGTAATGTTACTAGAGTCGGATTCTTGGGCCCGACAACAGAAACGAGGCTGGACCCCAAAATCAAAGGCCCAGGCAAGGCTTTCTTGTGGCTGCCACTTGAACTGAAGGGAGACTCAGCACCAACAGAGAGTGTGGTTAGGCTGACCTCTCCAAGCAATGAGCAACAGGGAGGCCTCGCTTATCTGGAGAAAGTTCCAGTTCACTATGCTAATGAGGGAAAGGGGGGAAAAATGCCTCTATCTGATTGGTTAGCAAGGGCCTAGTTCTGATTGGTTGGCAAAGCCTCGTCCTGATTGGTTGGCAGAGCCTCGTCCTGATTGGTTGGCAGGGCCTCATCCTGATTGGTTGATATTGGCAGGCAATTCAGGCAGCTTACTGGTGCTTTTGGAGCCGGGGCTTCAGGTTGGTGGAGCCTCTGTTTTCAATCGAGGTTGTGTATGGAGCTGGGTCCTGGTTCTGCTCTGTAAGAGAAGCGGTTTAACACTACAGCAAACAGAAAGTGCCCCAGGTGCATAAGGTTTTTCATTTGGGGCTTGTTCCCATGGTCTCTAACTGTCTCAGTGACTGGCTTGATTCTGCACACTGATTGCGGGCCTTCCCTTTTCTTTAATTTTTTTATTGTTATGTTAATCACCATACACGGGCCTTCCCTTTTCTGTGTTACGTCCCCGCTTCCTTACCCTATCTCCTTTGATTCTCAAACAAATGGTTTGCATTGACTCCTTGTCCTATGCTTTGCTTCTGGGGCACCCAGGCTAAGACAGGCTGTGTGGTGTTCCATTGTATGAAGGAACCAGAAAGAAGAATATCAAGATGACTCCAGGATTCTGGCTGGATTAAATGGGTAGTTCAGGAAGGTTGACAGTGGATTAAATTTCGGAGGAAAATCAAGAATTCCATTTTGGATCTTTTTTTAAGTTGGAGGTATCATTATATCCAAGAAGATGTCAAGGAGGCAGCTGGATATGCTCAGTCTTCTGGAAGTTAGAGAGGTCTGTGCTGAGATATATAAGTGGTGCTATATGAACCCATGATATTTAAAATTTCAGTCCTAGAGGGAACCATGAGTGTACAGACTGTGGAGAGAGAGAAGGGAGCCTGGAACAGAGAAGAGAGCAAATCATAGGGGGACCAGGGAGCGTGTTCCTCTGAGGCCAGTCTTCCCTACTCCAGAATAGAGAGAGCTGTGAGACTCAAAGCTGCTTCTAGTGGGCAATAACTCAATGTCCATGTGGTGCATCAGCCCATCTAAATGCAATGGAGGACAGGCAACAAGGGAGCAGAGAGTTTCTCATGTTTGTACTGGAAATGTACCCACTGTGGGTTCAGGGGGAGAACTGAGCTCATGAAACTTCTTCACCTAAAGTAAGAGGTGACCCTTTCATTCATGGAAAGTCAGATTGCACAAATATAAATTGACATGGAGAGTCTACTTCCAAATTAAGAAATAGATATTAGGTAAAAAGCAGCTAAAAAAAAGAAACGTTTTCCACTAAAAGGACAGAAAAATCATTAGCCATATGAAATTTTAAAAAAGATCTGGCGTATTTCTCCACTCTTGATTTGTGTCACTAACATAATCATAATGACATTTTGATTTTTTTTCTTGCTTTGTTTTGCAAGTTCCTTGCTTTGCTAAACAGCTCAAGATTTATAAATGTCATCGACAGAATGAAAGTAGTAGAACTATAACCAAGTTGTGTGTACGTGTGTGTGTGTGTGTATAGACATGGAATAATTCAAGCTTATTGTATGCTTTAAATTCAGATTGAAAAGGGCAAGGTTGATGTTTCTTATTTTTGTGATTAATAGATCATTTGTGCTTTTATTATTAGTATTTGCTCAAACTCTAATTTTCCAGTCTTTTGTCAGCCAAGTGAGCATGTTTGTGTTAGAAGACAGTACTTAAGAATCAGCCAGCCCTCTGCCTTTTTAATCTTCCTTCTTAGGGTCAACCAGGACCACTGGGGCCACAAGGTCCTATTGGACCCCTGGGACTGCCGGGACCCATTGGCATTCCAGGAGAGAAAGGGATGAGAGGTGACAGTGGTCCTCCTGGGGCAGCAGGTGACAAAGGTGATAAGGTAAGACTCTTCTTAAGTGAGAAATTCTTACTAACAACTCACCAGCGCTACCGTGTCTGATTTTTTTTTAATTTTTTTAAAGATTATTTATTTATTTATTTATTTGAGAGAGAGAATGAGAGAGAGAGAGAGAGAGCACATGAGAGTGGGGAGGGTCAGAGGGAGAAGCAGACTCCCCGCCGAATAGGGAGCCCGATGCGGGACTCGATCCCGGGACTCCAGGATCATGACCTGAGCCGAAGGCAGTCACTTAACCAACTGAGCCACCCAGGCGCCCTGATTTTTTTTTTCCAGCATAAAGTTTGTATTTCTTTTTTTTAATTTTATTTTATTATGTTATGTTAATTACCATACATTACATCATTAGTTTTTGATGTAGTGTTTCATGATTCATTGTTTGCATATAACACCCAGTGCTCCATTCAATATGTGCCCTTTTAATACCCATCACCAGGCTAACCCATCCCCCCACCCCTCTCCCCTCTAGAACCCTCCGTTTGTTTCTCAGAGTCCATAGTCTTTCATGGTTCATCTCCCCCTCCAATTCCCCCCCTTCATTTTTCCCTTCCTGCTATCTTCTTCTTCTTCTTCTTTTTTTTTTTTTAACATATAATGTATTATTTGTTTCAGAGGTACAGGTCTGTGATTCATCAGTCTTAAGCATTCACCATAGCACATACCCTCCCCAATGTCTTATCACCCAGCCACCCCATCCCTCCCAACTCCCACCACTCCAGCAACCCTCAGTTTGTTTCATGAGATTAAGAATTCCTTATATCAGTGAGATCATATGATACATGACTTTCTCCAATTGACTTATTTCGCTTAGCATAATACCCTCTAGTTACATCCAGGTCATTACAAATGCATGCCAGATTTTTTTTATAATCACAAGTAGCCCGTACTAACACCTTATAATAAATTAAGTCTAAACTTCTCTTCCGTAATCAGCCCTCATTCCCTAACTCTTTTCCAGAGGAGCATGTCTTTCTAGACTTTTCTATGCACTCAAATACATGAGTGTACCCAATGAAGGGTTGTATTCTTTCATGGCTTTCCTAAAAACCTAAGTGATATATTTATCATGCTAAGCCTTTCTTTTTTTTAGTCAACCATATGGCTTAGAGATCATTCCATATCAATTTATGTAGATTAAACTTATTCTCTCAAAAATACTGCACAATATGCCACAATATAGATAAAACTATAGTTTATTCCCTGTTGATATCCTGTCCCAACTTTGTGTTGTGCCAGGTGCGAAGGCAATCCTGTAAATTACCTGTGTTAAATTTAAGAGTTTATTTCTCTTGGAGAGACAGATTCTGAGAAGTTGAATTTCTGGCATATAGGGTATCAAATGTTTTCTTTGAAAGGATGCTGCCAAGTTGGCTTCCTAAGTACAAAAAGAAAAGTACAAAAGGTTTTTTCAAATATTGGCATTTAAGTTAATTAATGTAAAAAGGGGCACCTGGGGGGCTCAGTCAGTTAAGCGTCCGACTCTTGGTTTCAGCTCAGGTCACGATCTCAGGGTTCTGAGATCGAGCCCTGTGTTGTGCTCTGCGCTCAGGGAGGAGTCGGCTTGGGATTCTGTCTCTCCCTCTGCCTGCCTCCTTTCTCTAAAATAAATAAATAAATCTTTTTTTAAAAAGTTAATTAAGGTAAAAAATAAATGACAACTGCTAAGAGTTTTTTTAAAAATGAGTTATTAATTATTTATGTTTTCAAGTAAATCAGTCTGTTAATCTAATACTTTAGTAACTTTTGTATCTTTGTTTTCCGGGATGTTAGGGTCCAACTGGTGTTCCTGGATTTCCAGGTTTGGATGGCATACCTGTAAGTATCCTTAAATTTTTTCCATTTTTTTTTTTTAAAGGAAAAGCACTCATCAAAGCCCTTAAAATCACATTTTATCTCTCACTATGTATATTTATTTGGCAAACTCTTCTTTATTTTCTCCTGGTAGTACATGGAAGGATGCTTGCATTTTAATGTTGTGTAATAACTTTGAGACCAAAACACTACTTGAAAAGCAAGGTTTTCAAACAGATTAGAGAAAAACATTCCAAAATCTAAGCTACATGTACTTGCCATGTTCTAGAAATAAATGTATACTCATAGTGAAAGTTTTTATTTGCTGGTTAGTTTTAACAGAGGAAGGGGGCTTAATCTCTCATTTCTAATATGAAAACCAAATGAAAGGAGAGAAAGGTGTTTCAAGGGCTTTATAATCCATTAGAGTCTTTCTAAGGATTTTTAAGAAGGTGCTCTCCCAAATCTCTCAGAATATTTCAAACTAAATTAATTTCAGTTGGACTATATTAAAATTTATCTGTATTTTTAATGCGCTACATAGTACTTGTGGGTGGGAAGGAAGTTTCACAAATTCAATAACACGTGAGTCAAAGTTGCCATAATTTGGGTACCCATATTGCAGAAACTTTGTGTTACAGTATTCTTGCAAAAACACCTCACTCATCAGCTTGTTTCTTACAGGGGCACCCAGGGCCTCCTGGATCCAGAGGCAAGCCTGGCATGCACGGCTATAATGGTTCACGAGGTGATCCAGGGTTTCCAGGAGAGAGAGGAGTTCCTGGCCCAGGAGGCTCCCCAGTAAGACCCCCACAGCTCATCCTAAGGGGAATCTTAAGTGAAGGGCTCTACAAGGGGCACGAGCTTGATGTGTTCAAGAAACAGTGTTCATACAAGTGTGCTGGGAGCATGGTGAACAAATGGGGGTGGCTGGAGGGTGAAGACAGAGAGGTGTGCAAGACCCAGAGCTCTTGGGCCTTGCACACTGTGGGGGGAGTTTCTCTACATGCCGTGGGAAGGCACCGGGGGGGTTACAAGGAAGGAAGCAGTATGATCTGATTGATGTTCCATTAAGATGCTCTAGGCTGTCGTGCGGACAATGGATAGTAAGGGAAGGAGTGGGGAGGTCAGTAAGCAAAACTTCCATTGTTTATCATTCAGGGTTCACAGCAGACTCATAAACCCACTAGGTATTTCAAACAGGAAGGCATTTCATAGAGGGAATTTGACACATATTGGAAAGGTTGGAGGAGTGGAATTCAGGGACCACTGCTGGACTGTGATTCCAAGGGCTTGCACTTAGCTGAGATCCAGCAGCCAGGAGGCTTTCCTGCACATGACCACTGCCTCCCACCCCCATGTCCAGACACCGGCAAACAAGCACTCAAGTTTCTAACCTTACCTGCTTGGCAGTAATGACAATACAGGAAGAGGATGTCTTCCTTACTTCTGCCTTCCAAATCTCATAAGCACATCTCCTCGGTGGACCCTAAGTCCCATTTCAGCTGCAAAGGGGTCTGGGAGATGTAGTTTTAGCTTTCTCATCCCCATTATGCAATAAGAAAAAGGGAAGGCATTTGAATGGATGTTTAGAAACAGTTGACAATATCCAGCACTTCAGAAAACGTTACTGCTTTTAGGTATTTTTTTATTCAGAAATGTGGACTTTTATTTAAATATGAATTTAGCAAGAACTATTCTTTCCTGTACCCCTGATATTCCCTTTCTCTCTCTTTTCCTTTTTCTCACATAAAGATTGGAGATGATTTGGCCTTTTAAAACTGGTTTTCTGAGACTTCGGGAGCCTTTCCACTTCCCTGTAAATACTACTTCCCAAGATTCCTTCTAAAAGGTTTTCTTATCATCACCACTGTAATCATCCTGCTTTCTCCTCATGGGTTTTCCATTTGCTCTCAATTCTAGTGTGACTGACCTGAACACAGAACTCAAAAACAATTTCCAAATTTACATCTTTCTTTAATACCAAGGAAGAACAACAACCATCTTCTGTAGTTAAGCTTCTCAACCACCCTTTGTTTTCAAACTCAGCCATTTGAAGGCTCAAGTGCAGTCTGGTGAATGCACGTTTCTTAAGATCTTCAAATTGGGTCAAACCCCATTCTGCTGAGTGTCCATGAATGTTCAGAAGAGGAGGAGTTCTCGATTTTAGCTTTCCCACAGCGTGCCGTGGTGACCACGATACTGAAGTTTGCCGTAATGGTGTCTTCGCAAAGCAGCTTTCTTCCCCTTGGCCCATTTCATTTACAGTCGGTCCTCACTTTGCCCAGTAGTGTGAGGCATGAAGAACGACCATGCAAGCTGGCCCCACACAAGCAACCTTAACATCCAATGGGAAAAAGTAGTATTGTTCCATGACCTCTAATACGTTTTGTTAAAATATTAAAAACTCTCCTCATGTGAGTTATAAATACATAGGGAAAATAAAAAAAAAACTAATATTGATTTAGTACACTGTCATTTAAAACATACACAGTGAGAATCGAAGTGTCTCAGGTCTTTGAAAACACTTACCAAGAGTGTTTTGAACAGTGCCTTCTGGCCGTGTAACTTACAATAATGAAGTGACTACGTCTTTCTGTGCTCTGGTGAACTGTCATACTTTTTCTGAGTTTGGATCAGCTTTTAGTGCTGTGAACTGTATCTCAGAGTCCCTTTGCGATGAGGGTCTTGAGCCTGCGCCATGTCCTCTGGCAATCTTTAACCTTTTTGTCCCAGCCATTTCCCTTTTTTGTGTTGAGAACTGTCTTCATGGAGTCCCTCTGGCTCAGGAGTTTCAACATTCCACGATTGCTCAGTTATTTCTTCTAAGACTCCACTTACATTCTGTCTGAATTTTACTGCCAGCTTTATCATTTTTCATTCCCTCACTTATTTTCATCTTTGGTGGCCAGTTGCCTCTTGCGGTGGGGTCTATTTTCATGAAATATCATTTGGGTTTATCACTGGGAGATAAGGAGGGAACACAACTACACACTTTGCTTGTGTGTGTGCGTGCATGCACGCATGCGTTTGCGCCTACTGACTCACAGATGTGCAATGATCAATCATTAACAGACTGAAAAGAGTGATGGGACCAGGGATCATGATTCCCATCTGTTACTTATCTGTGCCGATGAGCTAGTGGTGTACTCAGTTAATAGAAGGTGGTAACTGAAATTTGAACCATTTTGTTGGAGGACTGGTGCTATTTAACTTAACTGTGGAACTAAAACTCATGCATATTGGAACTGTGTGAAGCAAGGACTGCCTGTGTAGGCCCATCTGATTTCTCAAGGGAAACAGTTGCTGTAACTTACCATAAAAGCCTTAAGTGTCTCCCATTGGAAGCACAGTCAGGACTTTTCCAGAAGGGATTAACTTTGAAATCTGCATGTCCTGCGCGGGAGCTTGATACATGAAGATGGTAGAATTCTTATGTGATAACCAAGTTAAGATATGTTAAGATATCCAGTAGGCAATCTTTGGGGGAAAAAAGAATATATTGAGTTATTTCATTCACTTTTTAAAAATACTCTCAGTAAGCTTGAAGCTGCTTACAAAAACCTTCCAAAAAGAAGATATGTTTTTAAAAGTTAATCTTACAAGAATACAGAGGCTCTATTTTGAACACAACAACTGAAATGAATAAAATCAATTTTTAAAAAACGATGTCTAGGGCATAAATTATTAACTGACAATTGCAAAATTATTTACTTGTAAGAATAATACATATGAATTATTGTGTTTGAGGAAAAATGTAATTTTCCTGTTGAATAATTAGTAAATGGCTATGTATATTATTATATAATGTAACACATATATTATATATTTATAACATATGTGTATATTAATAGATACTCTGTCTTTGGAGATTCATTAATAGATCTTAACTGAATATTGAATAAATATGTATGAGAACCTTAGGATGATAGCAATAATGAAGAGAAAAAAGAAATCTCCACTAGTAAAACATGACTATAATGGTATTTTACTGGTAATATTTCATACAAAAAAGAAAATGCTGAAGTAGTAATATGCTTTTTTCCCCCTCTTAAGTGAATATTTTATTTTCAGGGCCTTCCTGGGGAAAGTGGAGAAAAAGGAAATTCAGTGTTCATTTTAGGTGCCATTAAAGGTATTCAGGTAAGATTTATGATTATGGTGGGTTGAAAAAAATTATTTTTCCATCTAGGTAAACCCAGCCAGGAAACACATGGACATATCTCTTTTGAAGTGTCATGGAGCACACTGTTTTTTTTTTGTTTTAAGATTTTATTTATTTATTTGAGACAGAGAGAATGAGAGAGACAGAGAGCACATGAGAGGGGGGAGGGTCAGAGGGAGAAGCAGGCTCCCTGCCGAGCAGGGAGCCCGATGCGGGACTCGATCCCGGGACTCCAGGATCATGACCTGAGCCGAAGGCAGTCGCTTAACCAACTGAGCCACCCAGGCGCCCTGGAGCACACTGTTTTTATCATTACCCTGCCTCTCTCGATGGCACCATACTTCTTGTGTGAAGGTACTTGGCTTTAATTGCTCTGGCTGTAAATTCCAGTATCTCCTAACTGTTCTTGCAAAGTGTGACAGATACAGTTATTTCAGGGTTTCTCAGTCTTGGTACTATTGGCATCTGGGGCCAGATAATCATTTGTTGTGGGTGCTGACCCCGTGCATTGTAGGATGTTGAACAGCATCCCTGCCTTTACCTACTAGATGCCAATAGTATCCCCCCCCCCAAATAATATCTCCAGATATTACCAAATGTGCCCTGGGAAGAAAAATCACCCCAGCTGAGAAGCACTGATTTATTTGTAGATAGAATGTTGTAATGATAATACTTACCATCCAGGATAAGAGAAGTCACCACTTTTGAACTTGAAAATTATGGAAACCTTCTAGCACTATCCTGGGTAAATTAAATGCTTTTGTGTTTTTGTATACAATGATAGACAAACATTCAGAAATAAACTCTTGAATGACCACCTATATCTCTAATATGAGTACCCTGAATAAGCAGAAGATCAGTAGATATAAATCAAGAGGAAAAATATGGTACATTTGCAAAACATGGTCATTTCTCTCAAGGAAGAATATTCTACAACAGTTAGATAAAACTTAAGTTTCTGCTGTTAGACCCTAAGTTTCACCTGAGTGGTGATTCCTTTAGTGAGCTCACAGTATTCATTTGTAACCTCTGAGCCTATTCACACTTGTTAAGCAGCAGGAACTATGCTTTTGTTTATGGCTTAAATGATATGTTAAGCTTAGCATCAAAAGCAGGGTCATTCTAGGAACCAGTATGGTGTATTAGAAGGAGTAAATGACCCTTACCAACCACTGTGACTTTGGGCAACCCCCTCAACCTCTCTGAGCCTCATTTTCCTTATTTGTAAAGGAAAATAAAGTAATATCTACCCTGCCTTCCTCTCAGTGCTGATGATCCATTGTAATAATTTATATGAAAACACGTCAACTATAATGCACTGTACAATAATAGTCATGATGAGTTTTTAAAATTTAAATTCAGTATAGTTGACATAAAGTATTTTATTAGTTTCAGGGGTAGAATTTAGTGATTCATTAGTTGCATATAATACCCAGTGCTCATTACATCAAGTTCCCTCCTTAATGCCCATCACCCAATTATCCCTTCCCCCCACCTACCTCCCCTTCGGCAACCCTCAGTTTGTTCCCATAGTAAGAGTCTCTTATGGTTGGCCTCCCTCTTTGATTTCATCTTATTTTATTTTTCTTTCCTCCCCTATGTTCATCTGTTTTATTTATTAAATTCCACATATGAGTGAAATCACACGGTATTTGTCTTTCTCATTTCGCTTAGCATAATACCCTCTAGTTCCATCCATGTCGTTGCAGATGGCAAGATTTCATTCTTTCTGATGGCTGAGTAATATTCCATTGTGTGTATATACCACATCTTCTTTATCCATTCATCTGTCGATGGACATCTGGGCTTGTTCCATATTTTGGCTATTGTGAACATTGCTGCTATGAACACTGGGGTGCATGTGCCCCTTTAAATCACTATGTTTGTATCCTTTGGATAAATGTCTACTAGTGCAATTGCTGGGTCATACAGTAGCTCTCTTTTTAACTTTTTGAGGAACCTCCATACTGTTTTCCAGAGTGGCTGCACCAGTTTGCATTCCCATCAACAGTGCAAGAAGGTTCCCCTTTTTCCACCTCCTCATCAACATCTGTTGTTTCCTGAGTTGTTAATTTTAGCTATTCTGAACAATTTTAGTCATGATGCGTATTTTTTTTGCAATAGTGCAAGAAAGAATAAGTGAGATAGAAGGAGAAGTGGATATAGAGAATTCCTCATCTTAAAGAGAAACAGAAGATCCCAAATAAAAATGGTCTGCAGAGGGGCACCTGGGAGGCCAGTTGGTTAAGTGTCTGACTCTTGATTTCGGCTCCAGTCATGATCTCAGAGTTGTGAGATTGAGCCCCACTTAAGATCCTCTCTCCTACTCCCTCTGCCCCTATCCCTGCTCTCTCCCTCTCTAAAAAACAAAAAAAAGGTCTGCAGATCAATAACCTTAGAGAACCAGTACTTTTAAGAGCTCATATCTACTTCACAGCCATTTGGATGGTTATTTAAAAAAACCCAGAAAATCCAAAGTGTTGACAATTATAGGGAGAAATCTGAGCTCTTCTGCATTGCTGGTGGAAATGGCATTGGTACCGCTGCTCTGGAAAATGGTATGATGGCTCCTCAAAAAATTAAATGTAGAATTACCTTATGATCCAGCAATTCCATTTCCAGGTATATACCCAAAAGAAATGAAAGCAGGGTCTCAAACAGATATTTGTACACCCATGTTCCTAGTAGCATTATTCACAATAGCCAAGAGGTGGAAGCAACCCAAGTGCCCATTGTTGGATGAATGGATAAACAGAATGGGATCTATACATACAACCCAGTATTATTCAGCCTTCAAAAGGATGGGAATCGTGACACCTGCTATAATGTGGATGAAGCCTGGAGGTCATCATGCTAAGTGACATAAGCTAGTCACAAAAGGACAGATAATGTATGATTCCACTTATATGAGGTTCCTAGAGTAGTCACATTCACAGAGACCAAGAGTAGAATGGTGCTTGCTAGGAGCCAGGGGGAGGGGAAATGTATTTAATGGCTCCAGTTTCCACCAGGGAAGAGGAAAATGTTCTGGAGATGGAAGAATGTGATGGTTGCACAACAGTGTGAGTGTACTTCACACCGCAGAATTGTACACTTCAAAAGGGCTAAAATGCTAACTCTTATCTTATGTAGACTTTATCATATATTTTATATTAAAAAAGAAGCTATATTCAAGAGAATATACACCCTTTGATTCTTTTTTTTTCAGCTACTTTTATTTTTATTTTTTTGTTATGTTAATCACCATACATTACATCATTAGTTTTTGATGTAGTGTTCCATGATTCACTGTTTGCATAGAACACCCAGTGCTCCATGCAGAATGTGCCCTCCTTAATACCCATCACTGGGCTAACGCATCCCCCCACTCCCCTCCCCTCTAGAACCCTCAGTTTGTTTCTCAGAGTCCATAGTCTCTCATGGTTCATCTCCCCCTCCGATTTCCTCCCTTCATTTTTTCCTTCCTACTATCTTCTTCTTTTTTTTTTTTTTTTAACATATATGAATTGTGTAAGACTGTTAATCACAGACCTGTCCCTCTGAAACACCCTTTGGTTCTTTAAAGCACTGTAGATGCGCACAGAGGCAGGTGCAAGAGAATTTCCATAAGAATTCCCTTTACATCTACTCTAGGGGGATAAAAAGCAGCAAAGTGTCTATTAGGGGAGGCAAGTTCTGGCAGTTAGACCAGAGACAGTTAAACTGTGATCAAATGGGACCACTGGATTGAGAATTTAGATTGTAAATGGAAAGATGAAAGTCTCACCTTGACTCCATGTCATCACGACTCGAGCAATCTTTGGTTTCAGCCAAGTAGAAGCAGGATTCTGGGGTTAGGAATGGACACAGAAAGTCCTTTCCACAGAGCCCTCCACGGGTGTCAATGCCGGACAATCGAACAGCCTGCACGGACAGTCCAAATAATTCCTGTGTGGACTCCTCCTTTTACGTCATGTGTGTTTTAGGAAAGTGGTGTCGCTCTTCTAAAGCAGTGCATCGTTCCTATTGCAGGGCAACAGAGGGGACCCAGGACCTCCTGGCTTGCCGGTAAGTCTCCCAAGCAGGCCCTGTGCTTCTCTTTGCTCCTCGGTCAGCCTGTGGTCTGCACTGTTTGCATCCTAGCAGGACCAGCTGCATCATTTACAGAGCACACCGGTGTAAAATCAAAGGGTAGATCTCTTGCTCAAAAATTATTAAGAATTTTAAGGTAGTGCCAGAAGAGCGTTAAATCAGGCATGAGCCCCTATGTGGCCACACAGGTCCCAGGCCCGTGGAACTGTCCTGGAGTCTCAGCAAGCTTCTACTTACCTTCCTCTTCTGTCTTTTAATGATCATTTGGCATTATTCGGGGACATACAGTCTCTTAATATTTGGGAAGCTAAGTTTCCCTCAAGTCTACCTAAATAATACAGGTCAAGTAGAAATGATTTTCTCTGTACTATTCTGCCTGCTGAATCAGTAAGTGTGTGTTGCATTTAATTTTTTGCTTCATCTTTATCTCCCTGAAATTTGTAATTCAGTGATTATATTAGTGTTTGCAATTAATGAACCAGTGTTCACAAGATTAAAATTGAAAGTAGTTTGCCTCCAAATTGATTAATATATATAATTTTTGCTTGGTAACTTCTGGCTGTAGACAGGATTACTCTCCCACATTACTTTCCTCGCTATCCCTGAAGCGAGGGTAATCGATGTAATCGATGAGATACTTTCGTGTCACTGTTAAAATAAATACCAATTCATCCTCCTAGAGAGAGTAATTTCTTGCATACTCGCAAATTATTTGATGTGGGCAGGTTTGGCGGGAGAACAGAGAGCCTCTCTCCACACTTCTAGGAACGCACAGCTATAACCCCTCCTTGTGAATTTGTGTGGAATTATGCTACAACCTATGTGTTACAGAAAGTGGTGGCTGAGTCACCACCTTAATCTTGAATTGGGGGCATTTCTATTCACATTAATCTGATGGGACATCTTTTAAAAACATAACGAAGAGTATAAATACATTCATATTTTAAAATCAATTATTAATTAATATGAATATTTTAAAAAACATCCCGATGTATGTCAAAGTTGTAACATTTATGCAATTTAGGAATAGCTGGTAACAAGTTTTCTTTGTGCTCTACTTTTGCTATTACAAGATTTATTTGCAAACAAGTAGATTGATTTCTCGGTCTTAATTCAATCCTAAACATAGGAGTTGGTCACACCTGCCAGAGTGCTGCTATCATGGACCTTTTAATGGCCGTGTCAACTGCGGTGAAGGTGCTCCTGCTACAGGGCAGGTGTGTCTGTGACCGTGATTTCTTTGGAGGTTTTTATCCACTTGGGATTACACGTAGGTTTTGCTGTGAACGATGAGTTTGAGTTTTGGTAACCAATGCACTGACTGTTCTCATGTTTAGGGATTGAGGGGGGCAAGAGGACCGGCGGGCCCAATGGGACATCCGGGAGAGCCCGGGTTAGCCGTAAGTAGAGCACTGCTCGTTCTGTCCCTCTAAAAACCTGGCCTGGATGTTTAAATTAAACAAACAAACAAACAAAAAAGGCAAATTGCAGCCATGGGTGGGGCGCAGGTGGGTCATTTGAGAGGTTATCACTGATGAATCCACGTACACCCCCCATCACCAGGGTGAGTTTATCGTGAAGCATGGGTCCCCAGGGCAACAAGGAGCCCAGCTGTGAGGGGCAGTCCAGTAGGCATGTCTTAAAATTCAGGGTTTCCTAAAGAGGAACTTGGGGCAACCAACGTCGACACATTGTGATTTCTGTGACTGATAAATTGATTTGTGCATTTTTGCCCTTGATTTAGGGTGCTCCAGGCCATCCTGGGAGACCGGGCTTGAAGGTGGGTGGTCATGAGTAACATGCAACAAATAGAGACTGTCCGTGTCCAATGAGCTAAGTGACCGCTGAGCTCTGTCTGAATTATGTCTTTCCCTTAGTAGACTTCCCCAAATACTTCGTAAACGTCAATTAATTGCTTAACCAGAAGTCTTACTTGTTTGTAATTACCTTTTTAATATTCAAAAGCAATTACATTTTTTTTTTTCCTTTTCTTTCCCAGGGTAATCCTGGCGTGGGAGTCAAGGGGCAAATGGGAGACCCGGTAAGAATCCCCTTTCCCCCGGAGGAGCAGGTGCTAAAATGCATGTGCTGCCCAGGTGGCAGAGGCTGTTTTGATTATCACTTAAATTGTGTTCATTATCCAGTCGCTGCCCAATTTTATGGCCGAGAATTTTTTTGCTGAATTATTATGGCGCCATTACCCTTGACCGTAAAATGACAGTTCTGACAAAATTTAACACTAAATTCAAGTTAATGTATATGACGCATTTTACCCTAGCAAAAAGAGATTGAACATTTCTGATAATTTAGTATATCTCAGGGACAGTTTGTTTAATTACTGGTTTGTGTGGCTTAATTTCACAAATTTCCTCAGAATCCTAAACTCCGCCCATAAATAAAAGTATAAATACCTGCAAACAAAAGCATTTAGCGATAGTCTCCCACTCCCTCCCACCTCACACCCATCCTCACCGTCCCTTCCCTCCCTCCCTCACACCCACAGTCCTTTCTGCTGAGGCAGGAAACTTAGCAAAGATAAGCTTTAGAGAGGTATTTTAAGATGGCAGCTCATCTGCAAACAATCTGAATGGCTACCGATTGGCAAGTGGCTCATGCCACAACTGTGGGCAAGGAGATATTGAACGTCTACTCTGTGCCAAGCCAGGACTGGTGCTGGACGTGGGGAGTTAGTAAGACAGACCTGATCCCACTTGCGTGGAGTCCCAGTGCGGTTGGGTAAGTTATGGTACAGCCATTGAACAAAATGACTCGATTGCCCGAAATATATTGGAAGACATCACGATGTGCAGATGTGCCTATGGTATAATGTTGATCAGAAAGCACAGGTTACAAAAGTAGAAGCTCAATTTTGTAAAAACAACGCGAGACATTAAAATAGACACTTACAGGGGCGCCTGGGTGGCTCAGTCCTTAAGCGTCTGCCTTCGGCTCAGGTCGTGATCTCAGGATCCTGGGATCGAGCCCCGCACCTGGCTCCCTGCTCGGCGGGAAGCCTGCTTCTCCCTCTCCCACTCCTCCTGCTTGTGTTCCCTCTCTCGCTGTGTCTCTCTCTCTGTCAAATGAATAAATAAAATCTTTAAAAAAAAAAAATAGACACTTAGAGCAGGATTTTACAACGTCGATACTGCTATTTCCTTGTTGTGGAGGCTGTCCTGTGCATTGTAGGGTAGGATAGTTAGCTGCATCCCTGGCTTCTACCCACTAGATGCCTGAAACAGCCCTTCCTCCCCAGGGGTGACAACCTAAAATGTGTCACGACCTTGCCAGATGTCCCTGGGGGGAGTAGTATGTCCAGTTGCTTACCCCCTCACCTTAAAAACCACTGACTTAGAGAAATGACTGAAAGGAAACACACTACAACAAGGTTTTTCAGTCTTGGGAAGTCGGGGACCCCTGAGAATGTGCTTGTCGAAGCCCCAGAGGCTCATGCAGCCCGGCTTGAGACTCTCCGCCTTGTGGAGCGAGGCAGGCTATGCTGGTTTTGAGACCTCAGCACCCGTGCAATCAGATGCTGTCGCAAATTCAGGCCATAGAATCATGTGGAAATGTTTGGCTATGAGGCGGCCATTCAGATGATTCAAAATAGGCTTATTTTCATTCTTTTGGATTATCTGCTAAAGGAAGACACCATTTTGAAATTTTGATGCAGGACTCTCAGATGGGCAAGAACGTGTTTGCCCACGAAACGTTACCCCAAGCGGTTGCTGCTGGTTTGTCCTAGGTGATGCGATTATGGGTTGTCTACATTTTGTTCTTCATGATTTATGTTCCTTGCACTTCTGATTAAATGAATGTCTGGTACTTTTTCAATGTGAAAAATAGTGGCATGACCAACATTTTGAAGAGGCTCCCTTGCTTGTCAGCCGTTACGGGTTTCGGTCAGGCTCATTACAGCGGCAAGAATAAGAACGGTTGTGTTTACCAGCGCACGTTACTCACTTGCGTACGCATCGTTTAAGCGTTTGTTCAATCATTCGTTCACGTAACAGACGTCTTCAGAACAGCCGTTACAACAACACTGTGTTAGGTCCTGGGGTACAGCGACAAAAAGAAGCCAGCGTCCCTAACCCGGTTCTTCTGTAGTTTCCAGGGGGTAGGTAGGCATTGAAGTGCAGGCTGTCTTACTTCATTTACGCTGGAAATAGTATTCTTCTTCCCCAAATCCCACTTACCAAAAACATTAATGGCTTAATAATCATATATTTGAGAATCTTCTTTGTTTCACTCAGCGTAGTAAGTACTAAGCATTTTATGTGCATTATCTATTTAATGAAATAGAATACTTTGAAGAAGGCGGCAATATAACCCCCATTTCACAGAGAAGGAAAGTGAGATTCAGAGGAATCAAGGAAAAAAGGCTAAGAGAGATTTTAAGGAATTTGTCCGAAATAGCAGTCAGTCAGGGCCTGGTTTGCAAACCCAGGTGACCGGCTCTATCACCTGCTCTTAACTGTGTCTCAGTGCAGAATAGTAGATACAGTCCGAAAAGTAAAAAATAGTTATCTGCTAGTTAAGGGTGAGAATTTATGCTTATTTATGACAAACCCAATTCAAGCGACATTTTATTCCCAAGAGAGTAACGTTTCTAATGACATAAATGACAACTTTTGGCTAATTACTTTATACAGAGAGTTTAAACATATTATTGAAAACAAATTGGAAATAACCTAAATCTGGGGCGCCTGGGTGGCTCAGTTGGTTAAGCATCTGACTCTTGATTTTGGCTCAGGTCATGATCTCAGGGTGGTGAGATCGAGCCCCATGTCAGATTCCGCACTCAGCAGGGAGTCTGCTGGAGATTCTCCCCACCCTCTGCTTGTGTGAGCACTTGCTCGCTCTCTCTCTCTAAAATAAATAAATCTTAAAAAAAAGAGATAACCTAAATCTAACCAGAGTGGAATGGCTTAATAAATGATAGCATATTCTTATGATAGGCACTAAAAATCAGGTTTTTGAAAAATTTCTAATAATATGGAAAATGTGCAAAAAATAGTATTATAAAAGACAAACATAAAATTATTTTAAAATTTAAAACTTTAAAAAATATAAAAATAAAAACCCTACTGTGTATTTTAAATTATGTTTACATATGTTATATAGCATTCTGATTATATTTTAAATTGTATTTAACATCTCATTTGGTTACATATACATGTATATACATATGTACATTATTTGCATACATGTATGTTTATAGACACATCCACACAAGCACACACATCACAAAGATTTATACCAAAGTTTTATTTTTTATTTATTTTAAAGATTTTATTTATTTGAGAGAGAGCGAGCACAAGCAGTGGGGAGCGGCAGGCAGAGGGAGAAGCAGGCTCCCCGCTGAGCAGGGAGCCCAATGCGGGGCTTGATTCCAGGACCCTGAGATCATGACCTGAGCCGAAGGCAGATGCTTAA